TATGGGAAGAAAAACTGCCTTTTGAACCAAGATTATTTATAGCTACACCCAAAAAAAGTAAAAGAAAAATTTAACTTTCTTAACAGCATTCGACAACGTATTTTTCGCTGAGGATTTGTTTTTGTGCCTTGACCTGAACAATACATGGTCCCTGTGTTTGTCTTTTAAGTTTCTGAAGCATGGTTTATTTATAAAGGAGATGGAGTTTTGCAAGCCTTCTTTAAGTGGATTACAGTTAACCAGAGTTCTGCCGATATTAACATTCAGCCTAGCCTGTTAAAATGCTTGCTCATTTGGAAATTTTAACCTGGAAATCTCAGATGCAAAATTAGACTAAAAAGGGAAATGGACTGACAGTGGAATGTTTTGAGTGTTTGAGCCACTGTTAAGTGTGTGTGTTTGTTTGTTTTCTGTGTTTTGGAGTATGTGAAAGGGAACCTGGGGGGATACGGGAAGGGGGGAGGAAGGAGATTTCTGTTCTTTGTTCTCAATGCACTTTATTTTTTTAAGAATCATTTTAAAAACAACCAGGTAAAAGGATAGTTGCATTTAAGACTGATGCACTGATGACCTTAAACACCTCCTATATCACAACCTATATTGTTTGAGCGTGTCTTTATGCTGACGACACTTCATAGTGCTGTCCAGAAGTATACTTTTTTGAAAGATGCTTTACCTTCTTTCTTATTTTCTGTGTCAAGAGCTGCAATATTTGTTTTAATTGTCTACAAAATGGGGAAGCCACTCAGCAGACCAGACTGTTTACGTCAGAATCCCCCATGTGTAGGGAAAGGTGAAGAAGAGGAGGACCTAAATATCGAAGACTGTTATGTCCCACAGCGGTCAATCTATGATACTGTTAGGCTGAATGAACAGATAGACTCTGGTTCAAAGGGTAGCCTCTCTTCCAGGCATTTTACAGATCGGACTTTACCCTACAGTCACAGAACACTGGATGTTAGTTCTCTATGCTCTAACGGTGCCCTTGCTTCTTCCAGTGTATTTGAGCTGAGAGGTCGTGAAGCTAACAAACTAGATGAAAAGATGATCTTTGATGCGCTCAAACTAAATAGTGATATCATTCGAACCACCGGATTACCCAAAGCCAAGTCCCATGCAGAAAAGAAAGAACATAGACGGTCATGGCGAATGTTTGTCCCAGCCAATTTTATGGATTATGCAAACAAAAGTGAAAGCTCTTTTGTTGAACCTACTGATATGTCAGATGCTGTTCCCAAGGCCAGCAAGTGCAGATGGGGTACTAATTCTCTAACGTCGGAGGAGGATGACTCTGGTTTATGTAGCCCTCCAGCAGAGAGGGAAGAAAAACAGGGCATTTTAACTGGAGACCAGTCACGAATTAGAAGCTTATCTTCAGCTGAAGATATTCATATGGCAGAGCAATACAGGCCATTTTTTTCTGTTTATTCCATTAGTGAGCAGAAAATCCCATTGCTTTCATGTAGAAGTGCCCACCCTGATGAAAATTTCAAAATGATTTTGCATGATGTTCCTCCACTAGATGAAACAAAAGGTGCAAATGGTCAAAGGGAAATCCATGGTGAAAATTGCTTTCTGCAGAATGATTTAGAAGAGAGCACTGTAAAGTGTGATCCATTGATTATGTCAGGAGATGGGGAAAGCCAGTGTATTTCTAACACTGGAGAAGAATGGAAAACCTATGGATCAGGAGAATCCCAAATCACGGCACAAAGTGGGAAATTTCTGGAAAATTCTGAGGATTTACATCTCTCTCTCACAGATGTGGAGGGAAACGATGCAGATTGTGGTAGCACGAGTTTAGTAAAAAATGTGACCGTGTTGACACCAGATGATTCGGAAGAATCCAACGTTGCATCTAAAGAGGCAGTGGAGGTGCCCCTTTATTCCCGGGAGATGGAGGTGGTCCAAATAAAGTGTTCCCCGAAATTCATACCAGTAAGAAAGCAAGCAGCTTCCAGAAAAGCAAGGGCCCAGGCAGGAATATTGGACACAGTCTGTAATGGCTTTCAGTCAGCTCAGGTAATTAATGGGGAATGTGAGACTGCAATGCCGGGCGTTTGTGGTTCCTTTTTAAAGTGGTCACTAGTGTTTCTAATAATGATCAAATCCAGTCTTTTATTTTGGGAGTTTGCCTAATACCCCACAAGATGCCAGGTATTGATAAAGTGATCATTGTAACAACTTAATTAGGGACCTTTTTTTAAGAATGATTATTCCCAGCTGTTTAGATTCCTACTGTTGCTTGTGCAGGTGCTGGGCTGTTCCCCTGCATTTAGAGTGCTTCCACTGTGAGTTTATGTGAACATGAGGCTTTTACACAAATTGTGGTTTAAGACTCTGCCATTTAAGGGTAGTTCTGTTGTATTTATTAAGGTTGAGCAGGCCTAGTCATGAAGGTACAAACACACAGTATTCTATTGTTGTGGTCTGCGAAGTAGGCTACTCAAATTAAGGACATTTAAAATGTGCTGAAAATCAGAATTCTGTCAGTAGCTCTGGACACGGAAGTAGAGAAGCTGTGCTGTATTTTGCAGTCATTATAGCTGCTAACTTTTTGTGAGCGGTGAAGGAGGTAAGAAAGTAAAGGGTGCAGCCTTGTAATAAGTAGAGGCTGTTTGTCAAGCCTGTAATTTTTTTCTTCCCACTCGGATTGAAGTTCAGCTATTTTGGTATTTTTACAAAGCTCTTCTGGTAAACTTTGCCTCAGAGGTAATTTTATTTTATTTTAAGCTTTGTGTTTGTGTACTTATGGGTTAGATTAGGGGGAAAGTCTCTCTTCATAGGTATTTGTTACCACTGAGAGATAAGGAATTTGGACAGTATCAGAAACGTTCCTCTTCCCAGCCTATGAAGTCATTGCTCTAGGCAGCATTGCCCTTTCCTTCAGCTTGCGTGAGATGACATACTAGTTTAAAAGCTTAAAAGTACTTTTTTTTTTAATGTAAAGGATTTTGCAGTCTATTTGTAGGAAGTAATTGAGCCCTTAGGAATATACAGATTCCTTAGTAGTTTTCTTCTTTAACCCTTAGTATATTTTTTGTAGCACTTCAGAAAATTACGACTCACCCAGACCTACTCTGATATGCAGCCTTAAAATTGATTTCTTTAAAACCAAGATCAGGGGTTAAGGCAGTTTACTAGAATGTTATCTTAGGTTTTTTTTGCCCTGAGCATTATCTGACAGGAAATGTAGAACTTTTCCCTGAATCCTTCTATACCAGACAAGTTCCTGGAATTAAGAATGCAGCAGTTTTCTTACTGTCCCTCCTTCTTTTTTGTAAGTAGTAAAACCTCTCCAGAGCTCTTAGTTCCTAGAAGTAGTTAACTTAGAAAGTGGTATAGAAAAGAAGTAGCATCTCAGTTTCAAATTCTATTTTTACCACCTTGCCACAGAATTATGAAAACTTTTTTTTTTCCTCAGTGATTTGAGGAGTTCTTATTTCTTTGGTTATGTGTAATTGACTTTTTGTATTCAGCACTGCTGTATAGAAACAATTAGCCAGTATGGAAATTGTCTATAAGGATTTTATATACAAGAAGAAACTCGGGCTTTTAGCAGAGAGACTTCTAAGGGAAATGATCATTTATTTGTTTGCTATTCCTAAATTTACTCATACATGCAATAACACAGAACTATCTTGTGCGCCATGCCTTAGGCCAGAGTCTAGACAGTTTTTCTTGTAGCCTCTCCATTATTTTCCATACTGTGTAAAATTATTTTCCATACTACCTCCGTAATTTTTTAAGTATTATTTTGTTACTTGCCTTTTTAATGTTTCCATGTATTCTGTTAACTGTTCATTTACTTGGACTATTGGTATATTATATGGTGCCCTGTGGTGTAATGACTCAAACCCCAAACTCGGCCGTGTCTTAGTATCTAGCTGAAACTTCCCTTCTTTGGTTAAATTCATCTCTTTTTCTTCATGGAATCCTTTAAGTCCTGTATTTTAAACATTTGTATGTCTATGAAAGAGTTAACGTATTATCAGTATTCTCTTTTGGGGAGTTAATGCCATCCACTCCGAGATGTAAATACAATTTTTCTGTACTGACACGCATTCGGCAAATAATTATTAGGTACATATTACATGCTAGGTACTGTGGTAAGTCCAGGACATAGAATGACTATAAGCAAGACAACTTTCTGCTTTCACGGAACTTGCATTTTACTCTAATACATGAGATTTGTTTGCCAGTTACAGGCACTGGAGGACTGTTAGTTGGATGAGACTGAGAGTCAGAGGGAGGGCATGGGAAAATGGTTGGCAGTGCAGGGGGTGGCCATAGAGTCACTGGAGTTGCTGTGCTGGCCATGTGTGTGAGCACATCTGTGGGGTGAGGTCTCTGTGCTCTTGCAAGTCCTTTGGCATCTCACTAGGCATTGAGGGGGCTGGATGGGTAAGGATCTATTCTATTTACTATGCCTGCCTAAGTCTTTTCTCTTTTCCTAACTCTGTATTTGGGCTCCTCTGGCAAGCTATAGATTGACCTCTCAGCTCATCTCATCGTCTTGTCAGTTATCTTCTTTCCCAGTTTGAGTCTCAAACTTCAGTTGTCAGCTAGCAGCAGTTATCCTTAGAGGAGCTTGTAAGGGTCCATGCCCAGGAAGACTGATCTTGGGCCCATCTTACCATTTTGCCCCTTTGCATTTTCCATACTGTTTTTACTAGAGTTATATTGGAATGATAGAAAATATCTGGTTTATGCTAATGAAGCAGTAGAGAGAGGACACAAACTCTTTTCTTGGTTTTATAGGTAATCTGATTAAAGGTACTTAGAATATCATTCTTTAAAATTCCTGAGTTGTTTTGATAATATGAATTTATATTAAGTTTAGTTTCTTACTGTTATTCATAAGGTAGCTGTCACATATGAATAGCCAACAAAAATTCTTTTTAACTCTGATAACCGATACTCGATCATTGAACAAATGTTTGTATTTGGTGGTTGTTAGATAAGGTAATTTATATAAATGATTGCTCTTCCAACTGCAGGTATTCCAAAAAGAAGAGATTGAACCTTTGCAGGTTCAACAGCAAGATGTGAACTGGTTAGGTCAGGGCCTTATTCAGAGTGCTGCTAAAAGCACCAGCACCCAGGGTTTGGAGCATGACCTGGATGATGTCAACGCACGGTGGAAGACTCTCAATAAGAAGGTAATTTTTCCATTCCCTTCATTGTTATTTCTGTTGATTATTATTCTCTAGCATTTGTTGTGACTCGTCATATTTATAGTAGCTAAACTTCCCTAAACATGCCTACCTTTTTATGTTGCTGTCAACTCGGCAGCCCAAACTCGGATGCCCACAGGGCTTCAGTGGGCAGCATAAATGAAACGAGTAAGCTGGGTGAAATAGGACCTCTCCCTGCCGTTAACTTGACTTTCATAGAGGCCCAGTAGTGCCAGGGTGATTCATGACCTTGTGTTGAGCGAGCACATACACCTTCAAAGGTACAGCTGGTACTTAGCTCCAGCAAATCATTCCATGTAGGGATCTAGGTTCACTGTTGCCAGATAGTCTGCTTATTTTCAAAGGAACCTGAAAATCTCACTTTTTCTGTGAAGCCTAATTTTCAAATGTCAGCAACTAATTTTACATTGTATAATAGGTCACGCTGTGCAAGTGAAAGCCACCGTGTCTCTCTTTCAGTCCTGGTCTAAGGGTTTACCACCCTCACTATAGACTATTAACTCTAAATGGCATTTCATTTATGAGATGTAGATCCCACTTTTTTCTAAATGCCCACGAAGGAAAACACTGGAAGACAATGCTCTGGTGTCTTAAGGAGATCATGCTGAAACACAATGGCAGCCCTTTGCATGACGTAAATTATCAGGACATTGTTAGGGGACGACTGTGCTTATCTGGGGGTGGTGGTTTTTGTTCTTGTAGTTTTCTGTGCTTTGAGATCTTAGGCAATTGTGGCCAGATCTCAGAACTACGTTTATCATTCTTTAAAGTCTGATTCGTACTGTAGTGCTCTTCAAACACAATTGGAATGTAGTGTCAGGTGCAAATATATTCAGTAGTGCTTAAAACATCTTGCCAACTACTTTTTCAGTCCTGAAGGAAAAGATCTGTGAGAAGGGCAATAGGATATCTCTGTGTAGGACACAGAGACTCCATTTACTAGAATACAAAGGGTCCGGTTTGTCCAAAAAGCCTGTAGGACTTAGAGCTAGCAGAATTTAATTGGATACTTCACAGGCAGTTTTCCTAGCAAAATAAAAACCTGTTTCTCTCTACTATAAGTTTTTTTAATGTAGTCTTTTAAAATATTCATCAGTAGGAAATAAAATATGAAGTCAAAGGATAATAATAAAAATGACTAAGACATTGTTTCTTTTGGTAATCTTAAAATATTTGAATTATTCATTGCTAATCATAAATGTACTGGGTATTTCCAAAGTCTCAAAGATTTCATCTTTTACATTACCGTTTGGGATGGTAACCTTTTCTTCCTGGCTTACTTGCCAAATTTTGACTCCTTTCCACCACAGTCCTGGCCACTGTCAGTGCTTTGGGCAGATTTTAAGTGAAAAGGAGAAGAAAAAGCATTTTTTAATGTTTGTTTATGTATTCTTTTGAGAGACGGAGGGGGAGAGGCAGTGAGAGAGGGAGGCCGAACCCCAAGCAGGCTCCATGCTTTCAGCACAGAGCCCACTGTGGGGCTCGAACCCACAAACCGTGAGATCATGACCTGAGTTGAGACCAAGAGTCAGAGGCTTAACCAACCAAGCCACCCAGATGCCCTGGAAAAGAAAATTTGTGACCAGATGGGCAGATGAGCATGAACAGTGGTGGCTGGTGGGCAAACTGCATTTTCTGTGAAACCAGTAAATAAGCCGTCGCAACGGAAACTCTGCAGGTAGCTCAGCGGGCAGCCCAGCTGCAGGAGGCACTGCTGCACTGTGGGCGCTTCCAGGACGCCCTGGAGTCCCTGCTCAGCTGGATGGCAGACACTGAGGAGCTTGTGGCCAACCAGAAGCCCCCATCAGCCGAGTTCAAAGTGGTGAAGGCCCAGATACAAGAGCAAAAAGTAAGTTCGTGATACTTCCGTATTGTGTTTCATGTCCCGTCATAACCATGAAAGTAAAGATTTACCTTGTGACTCTCTGTAGTGATAGGATATTCTAGTTGACTGGTTGTTGATGCTCTAGGTATTATTTTTTAGTCATTCAACAAATATATACTCAACATCTGCCAGGTTTCAGACTTTGTTTCAGCTGCTGGCAGTGATCCCTGAACAGAAAAGATGCAAGTTCCTCACTGAGTTTAAGGTTTAGTGGACAGGGAGGAAGAGGGAGAGACTGTAAACAAAGTAAGTACATGGTGGTAAGTTAGCAAGTGATAAATAAAGCAGGGGTGAGAGATAAGTAGGAAGTGACAGAGCGAGGATGGACAGGAAGTGCTGGAGTGGAGTCTGGGGGTGGGTATGTATGCAGTTTCCAGTAGCGTCGTCAAGGAAGATTTCACTCACTGAAAAGGTAACTTGGGCGGAAATGTCGTCATTCCCTTGCATAGCAGATTGATCTGTATGAAATTGCCTTTTTTAAAAAAAAGTATAGTTGACACACAATGTAACATTAGTTTCAAGTGTAGAATACAGTGTGATTCAACAAGTTTATATGCTACGCTATGTTCCCCAAAAGTGGAGGTACCGTGTATCACCATACAATGCTTTTACAGTTCTATTGACTATATTCCCCATGCTGGCCTTTTATCCCTGTGACTTATTCCATAACTAGCACCCTGTATTTCTCCTTTTTTTTTTATAGCTTAAATACAGGCCGTTTCTTGTGGCTCAGCCTGTACGAAAGAAGCAAATATTTGATTCATATATGCTAAAGAATGTGTTGTGTCTTTTGACACTACTAATACAGGACCAAGTTGGAAAGAAAGACACACTTGCTGAAGGGATGATAACTTACCAAAAAAACCATTTTGTGCTCCAGATGGTGATGGTCAGTTAGGACGTATTTAGTGACATTTTCAGTACTAATTTGTCAGCCATGACTTGAAATGGCACATGGGAGGGGCCTAGCACACAGCACATTGGTAAGGTTTTTCCCGTGTGGAATCTTAAAAAGAAAGGAATGGATTAAGAGGCTTAATTTAGTTTTGACATTCAGTACTATTTCTAAAAATTCTTTGAGGACTCTAGTATGTTGGGAATTAACCTATTAGAAATAGGTTTGGAGATAAGGATTAAAGAAACATAAACGTAAAAAATGATTTTTAAATAGTATGTAATTCATAATATGTAATAAAGTAATAAAGAATAAGAATGTAATAAAGTAATAAGGATGTATAATATTATATATGGCAATATAATTGCTACCATTCACTATTTAATTTAAACCTTTGTTATTCTCCCAAAGTTAATGAACTATGTTTAACCAACAAGACCTATATGTGGATTTTGCTTTCTTAATTGCTAGAGGCTTTGCTATTAAAGTTTATCAGAAGTAATCCACTTAATGAGTTCTCTCTACTGCATCAATCACCTGTGGTTCGTTGATTTTCTAATGACTCTAACCTGTGTCAAGAGAGTTTGCGTTTCTTCCTCTTCTTTTTAAACATGTTGGTTCCTCTTAACCACCTGATTTGGCGGTCTCAAAGTGAAAGGGAGAGGGTGCTGTCTTAGCTTGTTACCTCTAGGTAACTGTACATTTCTTTAATCCTTAATTATCCATCAAGGTCAGAATAAGGAATCAGTGAAGTATTTAGCGTTTTACGTTCCTGTGACTTCCTCACTGCTCTTGACCAGTGCCTATGCATAGCACTTGCTCATGAAATAATTGTTTTGATTAGATGAGAGCAAAGTAATCCTGGGTTCTGGCCACTTCTTTCAAACATTCCATTCTGAGTTTTTTGAAATGCTTCTTAGAATTAAATTGCATTTTTTTTTCTGCCTCTAAATCCTGAAATACTAGTCTTATTTAGCCAGCTTTGGGGGATTTCTGACTTGTTCCATTCCCCGTTCATTTTGGACATGATACTTGAAGTCTCTTTTTTAGTTTCTATCCTAATGAAGGATTGTAGGAGCTAGTCCCACCTAGTAAAGGGAGGCCAGAGTCTCTAGATTTAGCATCACTGGCTTGTGAAGTTGGTCTGAGTCTCAACTTCCCTCTCTATAATGATTTAACATGGGGAGAGGTTTTGAAAACAGTAATGATTTATAATATCTTAAGCTTGTCTCAAAAGGACATGATTGTTGAATGTTTAAGGTATTCCGATTTCTTTACAGTAATGGGAATTTTGTGCTTTCTGTGCAGTGGACTTATACTGAAGCAGCACCTTCTACCCTATTATTTTATATTAAAAATTAATAGTGAATGGCTTAGCGGGCTTATCAATATTAGTTTTATCTGCTATGAAAAGCCTCCGTCACAATGTCTGACACAATAGTAATGAATCACTAAACAAAATGAGCCATTTTTAAAATCCTACTTCTTTTTATGTGAATCTATACAGAATATGTATTTTGTCACATATCAAAAGTACTTAGACTGTGTTTTCCATTCCGATAACACAATTATTTCTTTGTCCCTCCCGCCTCCCCTTTTGCTTCTGGTATTTAATGTTCTATGTCAAGCTTCTCCAAAGATTGCTGGATGACCGCAAATCGACTGTGGAGGTAATCAAACGTGAAGGAGAAAAAATTGCTGCAACAGCAGAACCTGCAGACAAAGCAAAGATTCTGAAGCAGCTGAGTCTCTTGGACAGTAGATGGGAGGCATTGCTTAACAAAGCTGAAACACGGTAACTTACATACTTCCGGTCTTTTGAAGAAGTAGCAAAGTCGTTAATTACTGATGTTTTGCATTTTGATGCTGCTTTTCTTCAAACTGTCATTTCCCTATGTTTATCATGTATGTGAACAGGTAGCAAGGGCTGTGGTGCCGCTCTCCTCCCTCCTCCCTTGGTAAGGTCTTGTAGTCACCAGATACATCTCAACACTTGGTTTTATAAAAATAATTCCCTCAGGAGTAATTCATTTATTTATTAATAACGCAGTTACTGCCTGCCCACTGTGCATCAGGCATAGAGCTAGGCCTTGGGCTTTAGAGGTGAGCTGGACAGATCATTTCTGTCCTCAGGGTACAGTCAGTGTTTTATAGCCATTGAAAACTAATGACAAATGTGATATTTCAGAGCAAAAATATAGAGTGCTATGGAAGCATGTAATGGGCTTTTGCACTCATCATGTTTCTTGGTTACATTTTTTTTTTCATTCTCCGTGTTGGGATCACATTGACCTATGTTGAGTAGTAGCTACACTGGAGTGTAACCACAGCCACATAGACTGGGTGGGTTGAAACTAGACGAACCACTGAACAGAATGATTATCTCCATAAATTGCTACCTTCTTTGGAACTACAATGCTGAAGAGAAGAGGATTTGTCTAATCTTGAATACTGGAGTAGAATTAATTATAGTTTATAGTTGTATGACCGTAGAATGAGATGCTCCTAAGGAGGCTAAAAGCTTCATGTCCTTTAGTCTCATTTCGGGAGATTATTCCATTTGTGGAATTACCAGGACATTGTACCCTGACTGCCATGAGAGATACTCTCAGTACTTTTTAAAAATAAATGAATTAATGAAATGAATTAATGTCTAGATCCCTGCTTTACTACCACAATGGCTTTCTTTTCCTAAACCTTCCTCACAGTGGTATTAAATAGAAGGATAGTGGTCATATTATGATTTATATGCTGATTAATAAAGTCACTCACAATTTAAATCACAGTAAACTAAATATGGTCACAAAATAGTTTATTTTCACTGATTCTAGATGATTGGATATTTGAATTTAGAAAAAAAGAATGTGGAGGATCTGGGTAGCTGAGTTGGTTGAGCGTCCAATTCTTGATTTCGGCTCAGGTCATGATCCCAGAGTCATGGGATTGAGCCCTGCATGGGGCTCTGTGCTGAGCATGGAGCCTGCTGGAGATATCTCTCTCTCTCTCTCTGTCTCTCTCTCTCTCTCCCTCTTACATGCTTACATGTGTGTGTTCTCTGTCTCTAAAATAAAATTTTTAAAAAAGGAAAAAAAAATTTTAGTAATAATTTAGAAGTCAAAAATAATTCTATTCATTTTTTTAAAGATCAAATATGTTTCATCTGAAAGTTTTAAGAGATATATAAATGTGTAGTTTATGATATACACAGAAATTATATTCAGTAGCATGTGCCAATTTTCCAGAATTCTCTTGGTCTCCATAGAAAGCAAATTTCTTAAATCATGCAATTCCCTAAGAATTATGCATGATAAAAAGTTATGACAACCACTCTTGGTCCCAGGATCTGGTACTGAGTCAGGTACTCTGTATAGAGACGGGCACAATCTCTTGCCCTCGGTAAAAACTGAGGGTGGCAGAAGGTAGGTTTTCAGTTACATGGTACCATTTTAACTGAAGAACTAATGTGTTTTTTAAGAGCATTTCAAACTATATAAAAGTGTATTCAAATAAGTAAAAGTCTAAAGAAATCCTTTTTCGTGATATTTTAATCCATAAAATATTAAGTGTTGCTTTTGGGAAATATACCTGACACTGTACTTTTTTTTTTGGCGGGGGTTGGGAGGGAATAGACCCGACACACTACTTTAGAAGGAGTCACTATTCATTCCACTATGGGGGGAGCTACAGATGGTCTTCAAAATTTGAATCCAATTTTGACCAGTTGATTAAGGAAGTCACAGTAACTGGTGCTCTGATTGAAGTTAATTAATATATAACACACTTTAAACAGAGGCTTGGCACAGCATATGTGTTCAATAAGTTTTTTTTTTATTGTCATCATTGTCATTATTGCTGCTATTGTTATTATGACATTACTATTATTATTATTACATAGCTATTATTGTAACCAGATTTCTTAAGAGTTTCATAAGATTTAGCTGCTTGGGATTGGCCTGTGCTTCACCTTTAATTTTATTTAATGGGATAGCTATTTTAGCATGTGCTTTAAATGTGACAGATCTTAATTTTAACCTTAGTTGTTTTCCACAAAAAAAATGTTTAGAATGCAGGAGCTTGAGTAAAGAAGTTTGTTGACTATTTCACACATTCTTCATCCCTAAATGACCTTTATCTTGGCACATTTATAGGAATCGTCAGTTGGAAGGTATCTCAGTGGTAGCACAGCAATTTCATGAAACCCTAGAACCATTGAATGAGTGGCTTACAACCATAGAAAAGAAGCTGGCGAACTGTGAGCCCATAGGAACCCAAGCGTCTAAACTTGAGGAACAAATTGCACAGCACAAAGTAAGATAACCATTGCACGTTAGTAAGATTCAGTTTTCCATTTCCTTTGTGGTTTTATGTCATAAATTTGAGTTATGTACTGTTGTGTTATGCATAATTGTAAACTAAGCCCATTTCAAATGTCATTCTTTCATTTGATTTATGTTTTCATTTTTATTTGTCCATCCTTTTTGTTTCTCTTTTCTTAAACTTTATTTTAGGCCTTAGAAGATGACATCATCAATCACAATAAACATTTACACCAGGCTGTTAGCATTGGCCAATCCTTAAAGGTTTTGAGCTCCAGGGAGGATAAAGATACGGTGCAAAGTAAACTAGACTCCTCTCAAGTGTGGTACATTGAGATTCAAGAGAAAAGTCACAGCAGGTCTGAGCTCCTCCAGCAGGCCTTATGTAATGCTAAGATTTTTGGGGAAGATGAAGTTGAGCTGATGAATTGGCTGAATGAAGTGCATGACAAACTGAGCAAGCTCTCAGTCCAGGATTACAGCCCTGAGGGGTTATGGAAGCAGCAGTCTGAACTTCGGGTATTTTTATTTCTTTTTTCTTTTCTTTTCTTTTCTTTTCTTTTCTTTTCTTTTCTTTTCTTTTCTTTTCTTTTCTTGTTTTTTCATTTCACTTGTCATTATTTTCTAAGTCTTTCTCATTTCTGGATTATTTTATGTTCTTATGATTTAGGGGAATTGCTATACCCAAAAAAAGACTTTGCCTGTATATACAGTTTACTTCTAATGGAGTCACTTTAAAAAGAGATTGAATTTATCCAATAGCCAGATTCCCCCCTTTCCTTTGCTATTTTATTGTTGTACATGAAGACTCATAATTAACAGGTAGTCCAGTATCTTCACAAAGTCTGTTTTCTGAAAAGGAGAGAGCGTGTGAATTAGGGTAGATGAACATGGGCCATGGTGGTTTAAAGAGAAGGCGAAAATAAGGGAACAGGGATTAATAGTTGAAAATGGGAGGTGTCTACTTAAATCTCTATGAAACACAGAGTTCTCTAAGATTAACCAAAGCTAACTGTGATTTTTTTCCCCCCAACATAAAAACCGTACCTGTGTCTTAGGTTCTGCAAGAGGACATCCTACTCAGAAAACAAAATGTAGATCAGGCATTACTAAATGGTTTAGAACTACTGAAACAAACAACAGGTGAGAATCTTTCAAATCAGATCATCATGCAATTAGCATTTTTGCATTGCTTTCTAGATATTTTAGGGATAAGAGAAAAACAAAATCCTTTATAATTCTGAGGCCACTCCAAGACTTCATTCTGCAGAATTCTTTGAAGACTGATCCAAGGGGGTTTTGGGATATGAGCTCACTTTTTTTCTCATGATCTCACTTGAGTTCCTAATGGAAGTTGTGTGTATTACTCATAGCACATAGCAGGGTTACATTCATTTTCCACTTGCGGGAGGCTGTTGTTCTGCATGAGTACGCAGGTTGTAGACCAGTTTTTAAAATTTTAAGATAGTTTGCGTTCAGTGACAGATTCTCTGGCTATACACACACTTCATTTCTCCATGCTTACACTTACTAAGAAAACAGATACAGACTAATTCGTTTTAGTAATTCCTTTGGCCACAGGAAAGTTTCACTGTACCTGTGTCCAGTTAGCATCTGTATTGAAGTATGGGCCAGTAACATTCATTGTGAGTTGCGAGGGGTTCACTATAGTATCTAGAACCTTGAATCAGGAGTCTGAAGCCCAGGATGCAATTTCTCTGGGTGTCTGAAAATGAGGTAAAGGAGAGCGAGGACCTACTGGAATAGTGCAGATGAGTTTATTATTTTTAATATATACACATTCACATCCCATACACATGTACCACGTACACACATGCGCACACATTTGCACACATACATATGCATATGCCAGACGTTGGTCTAAACGCTTTGCAACTATAAACTTGTTGAATTTCTATCACAACTTTATGAGGTAGATTCTTTCATCCCTGTGTAATAATGAGTAAACCAAGGGCACAAAGAGGTTAAGGATCTTATGCATGGTAACAAGTGGCAAAGTCAGTGTTGGAACCCAAGCAGTTTTTAGCTCCTGTGCTTGAAGTCTGAAAACGCCATATAGTTAGTTGTGAAGGTGGTGCTTTCCCATAACTGCAGGGACTGTAGCCCTTTCTGGTTTTATATTGGCATTTTCAGAGCTGTTTAGATTTGCCAGAAATCCCGGGAAGGATTAAAACCTAGAAAAAGGCTTCTCTTGGGTCAGATCATCTTTGGAAAAATGTCTCTCCTCCCTCCCTTCCCTGAGAAAATCTCATCAGTGTACAATAATACCTGAAGAAACCCTCCCTCTAGCTTTTCTTTGCTTTCTCGAGATATAACACGCCTTTGAAATTTTAGGTGATGAAGTTTTAATCATTCAAGATAAATTGGAAGCCATTAAAGCAAGGTACAAAGACATTACTAAACTAAGCACGGATGTAGCCAAGACCTTGGAGCAGGCACTGCAGCTTGCCAGGCGCCTGCACTCCACACGTGAAGAGCTCTGCACCTGGCTGGACAAAGTGGAGGTGGAATTACTTTCATACGAAACTCAGGTTCTGACGGGAGAAGCAGCAAGCCAAGCCCAAGCGAGACAAAAAGTAGGCTTTTATTTACGCATTTTGGATCTGTTTGTTACCGTTTAGGGTGATAGTCTCGTGTCGTTACTAATATGCTGAAGGATGCCTTGATGGGGACCCAATAGAAATTGGCAGGAGATCAATTGTGTAACACTTCGTAGAGCCCAGAGATGAAAGCCCTGCATTTATATTTTGTTTCCAGAGTCTTATGGTTGGGAGTATAATTTATTACACAAGAGACAGAATGATGAAAACAGAAAGAAAAAAAAAAGTCATTGTTTCAGAGATACACATAATTTGCTTAGAACAACAATATTTATGTAAGATAGATGCGTAGCATGAGGTAGCTTTTCTACTTATATTGCAGAAGTGGTATTCTGTCATGCTGTTTTCTTTTCAGAGATAGCCTCTGTTTTATCATCCCTGAAGTATGATCACATGTGGGTGGAAAGGAGCCGGGGAGGTCAGGCTCACTGAGCCTGTAATGATTCAACAGGGATGATTTAAAGCCACTACGTTCTCATTTTGAGGGTCACTTAGTTCTGGCTTGGACTTTACTCTTTATTTTACTTTCCTAGTACCTGATTACTTAGAGGTTACCAGAAAGCAAAGAATAATACATGTGAACCTGCTTGGTTTTGTTTCCCAAATTTTAAACATTTATATTAAAGTTCAAAGATAAAATCTTTGCCGTGTTGACAAATGAATTGTTCTTTGGAACTCCTCAGGAAACACTTTTCCTTTTTACAAAATAGCTCTAAATAACAAAGGTTTCTAGAACTTAACTGAAACTCAGGGACCAATGCCTGGCATAATTGACCTGCAAAGGATGTTAGCCCCGAGGACAGTTAAAGGAAAAGCCTGTTCTAACTCTTAAGCATTACCCACAGATTTGTATCTTTCCTGAATTCTGTTTTCAGGAACTGAAAAAGGAAGCTAAGGACAGCAAAGCCTTATTGGACTCCCTTAACGAAGTGAGCAGTGCTTTACTGGAGTTGGTACCCTGGAGGGCGAGGGAAGGACTGGAAAAAATGGTGGCCGAGGACAATGACCGCTACCGATTAGTGAGCGACACCATCACTCAAAAGGTGGAGGAGATCGATGCGGCCATTCTGAGATCACAGCAGGTAGGGACAAGCGGTTTGTTGTCTAGGCAATAAATTTCCCCCAGTGGTTCTCAGAGCCTTTACCTGAACAAAGATTTCTATTAATAGTGTTTCCATTCATTTGTTATGCTTCAAAAATGAAAGGAGGGATTTGAAAAGATTTTGGGTTACTTCGACATCTGAGTGCGAGGCAGGGCAAGGCTAATCTGTACATTGTTAACAGCCATCTGCCTCATTGTAGCCCAGATTTATACCCTTACCAAATCGGTCACTGGGAAGATCAGCCCTGCTTTCCAAACAAAGTTCTTTTCGCTTACATATATGTGAATTGCTAATGCTAATTTTATGCCTTGGCTAAGTCTAATCTGTATGTGAGTAAATATTTTGAGTTATCACATAAGTCCACACTGACTATTCATTTACATACAGCAATGGCAAAGAGAGGCTGTGTTCTTTCTAAAAAGGAAACAGTCGTGTTGGTGATGTGTTTTTTCTGAACTGAAGCGGGGGGTGGGGGCGGCGGGAAGGGTTGTTTCTGACCTGTCTGTGACTCATGCAGAGTTTAGAGTTCCAGAGAGGTTTGTAGGCACCCAGCCCTCACCACAGCTCCCTCAGAAAACTCTAGGTGATGAGTGGGGTCCTGGAAATAGAAATTTATAATATGTGTTTTGATGAACTTTTATTGACTATCTCGGACTATTTACATTAAGTCATCAGACTCTTACTGCAGACCTTCTGTGACAGGATTAGTGTTCTATTGCAGGGTACTTCAGAGCAGAGCTCTGGAAGGCACATAACTAAGCCTTTACTAATACATGCTGAACACCAGAGCCACAAACCAAGCAGATTGTGTGGGAGCATCCAAAATTAATTTTCTAAGGTTGCTGTAAAAGTGTAATTTATATAGTTCTATATTATAATTTATGTGGCATAATGCCTCACTCCTCATTTCAGGGCCATGCTCTAGAATCACAAAAGCTGATGAAATACAATGATAGCGGAAGGCCTGCCTTAGAAATTTTTGTGAGGGAGAGCATTCATGCCTGAGGAATGTATTTGCATGACTTCAGTTCTCAAAGTTCGGCACAATCTGTATGCCTCATTATTACAGGAGGATAAATGCATTTATCTGTGAAGTTTATTCAACTGTATGAAAACACTGGATTTTTTTCCCCAAAACTTATATTCCACATTTCAGAATTGGCACTGAAGGTTTCCCTAAATAGCAAGACTACTATTCTGTACTCTTGGAGTACGATTTTTCTTGAGAGGTTGACTGTGGGTGGTTAGTTCAGTGAAATAAGAGCATAAAAAGGGCAAGATGACAGGTTGAGCTTGTATTTTTTTAAATGTTTATTTAGTTTTGAGAGACTGTGAGTGGAGGAGGGGCAGAAAGAGAGAGACACAGTCATTATAGAAAATTTTAAGATTTTCTGAAAGAATACAGGAAAAACTCATGGAAGAAATAGTGTGTAAATAATATGATCTCTATCCTTCCAGTCTTCCTTCTGAGAGAGGAAGACCTAGTGTCTTACTACCAATAAGTCATACAGCTAATGCTAATGCCACTGATATTTTCTGGTTGTTCACATGTTTCTAAACTCATAATTTTCAAGTTTATAAAGGAGCTAATTTATGACTGAAGTCATTTCATAACTTTGCTCACTTATAAATATTTGGAATTAGCACCAGAGTACAGTTTGGCACTAAAATATTTGTTTTCTGTTTTCACAATAATAATTCGTCTCTGCAGTATAGAAGAGATGGTGCAAAAATATCTGGAGACTCAGATGTTAGCCACACATTTTGTACTGTTTTAAGGTGTATAAACAGACCAAGCACCATTCTGTGTCTCTTCTCCATCTAAAACAATGGACGTGATCTGACCTCCGTCCCATCTTTTTAGACATACCTATAGTCACATACAATTTGTTTTATTAACAGCTACTCCTTTCCAGGTCCCTACCTTCAACATACCCACACCCACACCCACAAGTTGACAGGGTAGGACGTATGTCTTGAACACGAAGTGGTAATTTTTACATTTATAGATTTGATGCTTTGTTTCCTAATAACCTGGCTAAATTAGATTTTAAATAACTGAATGTTTTGTTTCCAAGTAAATTTCTATTAAGATGTTTCACCTTTTGCCCGGCATTAAGGCTGTTTGTATACAGATCTACCTCCTGTATAATGTTATAACCTGCTTTTTGGAATTCAAGAAAAGCATAGGGACTTTGTGAGTCAGGTCACTGTTGCAGAGTATATTGGCTTCCAAACATCGATGGGAAAGATGTCTAGGAGTGCCTGGGTGGCTCAGTCAATTAAGCAACTGACTTTTGATCTCAGCTTGGGTCTTGATCTCAGGGTCGTGAGTTTAAGCCCCGTGTTGGAGCCCACTTAAAAAAAAAAAAAAAGAAAAAAAAAGATATCCAAGAAAACATAGAAAAGAATTAGTTTGAAAAGGACAGGGAAGGGGCGCCTGGGTGGCTCAGTCGGTTAAGCGGCCGACTTCAGCTCAGGTCACGATCTCGCGGTCCGTGAGTTCGAGCCCCGCGTCGGGCTCTGGGCTGATGGCTCAGAGCCTGGAGCCTGTTTCCGATTCTGTGTCTCCCTCTCTCTCTGCCCCTCCCCCGTTCATGCTCTGTCTCTCTCTGTCTCAAAAATAAATAAAATGTTAAAAAAAAAAAATTAAAAAAAAAAAAAAAAGAAAAGGACAGGGAAGGGAGCATGCAGATGTCTAGTAACTGGCATGACTTTGTAACCACCCTGTTTAAACATAGTTTTTAGAAAAGTTCTGATTTGATGTGGTTAGATTTTTTATGGTTATCCTATATGATAGTAACAGTTTTGAGAATATGTGTCACTGAATTTTGAAATCATGGAGGCCTATGACAGAACCCTTTATAAATTTGAGTAGTAGTTATTGCTGTTTGAAAAATCATCAAACTGCCTCTATTATGGACAAATGAGTGAGGACTATATGCATCTGACTCTACAGATTGGCAAGCATTGACATTCTGAAGAGAGTATGCTTTTTTATAAGAATTAGGCCCATTCATTACTTTTAGGAAATACCTGAGGAGAACAAGGCAGCTTTAGTAAACAGTGATGGTGAGCTTTATAAACAAAACGAAACAGGTCTCTCCTTCTCACAATACATGCCATCATCTGAGTTAGAAACTGTACATATTTTTGCCTGTTAAACCTGCACGAAGTAGCATCTTTTTGTTGCTTTCTTTTTGTTGCTTTCTTTCTCTAATTGCAAATTGAACCAAATGAGCAATGTGGAAATAGGGGGAGGCACTTTCACTTAAAAGATGTGCAGACTTATAGCCTGAATTCACACCATTGTGATTGTTTTAACCTCAGAGAAGTTCATTGTCCTTTGCCTCATATTAATATGCACAATTGTCAGAAGTTGCTAAAATGTGTGTATTTCACGGGGTCTGGGAATCCCAGACACTCTTCAACAGTTCTAATTGCTTGGCTTGAGTGGCCATAATGACCCTTTTATATTAAAGGCACGTAGGTTGGTGATTTGGGTGCAATTAAAATAAGCAACTCATCAGGTCATTAGGAATCAGCCTTGGAAAAAAAATAACACCTGTTTGTTTCTTTTAAAGAACTAGTAGGAAACCTCCCCCACGGAAGTGAGATTAGTTTAGACCCTTCAGGTGTTGGGGGTGGGAAAATATGGGCTGTGTTATGAATAATGCAAAGCAAAATGGAAGGAAATGCTAATCAAGGAAAAGTGATAAGATCCTCAGCCGGGGGAAGGGAGTAAAAGGATGTCCTTGAAGTTAAGGTTCACTTACCATTTTGCCTTTCGTAAGCCTCTATTTCCACTTAAAAGAAAGCCTCTAGATAAACACAAAAGTAGTTTGTCAGAGACTGGAGAAATGTTTAAGAAGTTAAAACCTACTATTTATTGACGGTTGTGGCATATGAGCCATTTTTGGTGAAATTGCATGCATATTTTGAGTTCACGAAGCCCGAACTGTATACGAGCACCAGTGATAGGGCAACTAGCAATGCAGTCTCTGCGGTCAGACCACCTTGGTTTGAGTCTCAGCTCCAACAGTTACTAGCTGGGTAAGCCCTGGTAAGTCAGGTAACTTTTCTCTACCTCAGTTTTCTCAACTGTAAATGGAGTAGATGGTAATACCCAGATGATGCAGTTGTTGTCAGGATTAGAGAAGATACTGCATGTGAAGCACTTAGTGTGTTCAGTAAAATGCTGGCCATTATTGTTTTAGAGCGTTTTTCAGGAATCGAGATAGCCAATTAAAATGTCTTTCACTATTAGGGTCCCTGGCTGGCTCAGTTGGTGGAGTGTGCGACTCAATCTCAGAGTTCTGAGTTTGAGCCCCACGTTGGGTGTAGAGATTACTTAAAAAATAAAATCTTTAGGGGTGCCTGGGTGGCTCAGTTAAGCACTGACTTTGGCTTAGGTCATGATCTCATGGTTCGTGGATTTAAGCCCCACATGGAGCTCTGTGTTGACAGCTCAGAGCCTGGAGCCTGCTTCGGATTCTGTGTCTCCTCTCTCTCTGCCCCTCCTCTGCTTGTGCTCTGTCTCTCTCTGTTTCTCAAAAATAAATAAACATTAAAAAAATTGTTTTAAATAAATAAAATCTTAAATGTCTTTCACAGTCTTGTTGGAAATTTCTGAAATACTGGTTCTACTATAATAAGAGTTATAGTAGGTCAGTGGTTAGATTCCACTGATAAAACCTAGTAGAATATTTCCTAGAATGCAATTATGGATGGTAATATTATCTACAATTTATTTGAAGTCAATTTCTGCTACTTGAGTGAGCAGTAAACAAGTTTATTAAAATTTGGTCTAATAAACTGGTTCTCCATATTGTTCACATTGTAAAATAAGCAGCCTTTATGGTCTATTAGAAATGTACACATATAGTCATTCGAAAGTTTATAGGTGTAAATAAAATGCCTTGCTTCCCTGTAAATTGCTTAATGAAGACCCTGGGGCTATTCCATTTGTTGCTAAACAATAAATATTTGCTAATTTAATTTAAAAAATCTCAAAAGACAGGAGGGAAATTTCTGCTTGCAGTCTTGTTTTCTTTTAGCAGAGCAAATATTTGCCTTGGTTGAAGACACAGTGTTTTAGTTTCAGCTTTCCATTTTGGCAACTTAGATGGTATCCCCATACTATTTTTCACTGGATTCTTTTTTTTTTTTTTAAGAGAAAGAGAAATAGATTTAAACTAATATTAACACTAACAGGCTGACTTTATTTACTAGGACTGTCATATAAGTGCTGAAAATTGCCTGATCACAAACAAGCGGGGTGGTTTGTCACTTTGTTTTTTCAGGGACCAGTAGAGGAAAAAAGTCATTACTGTTAAATTTGATTCAGATATCTTGCAGCACTTGCACTCAGGTACAAAGGCCTGGACTGTTCTGCCCAGTTTCACATTCGTTAAGGGAATCACATAATAAAGTTTTACCTTGAAGTTTCATTGTATATATCTTGAAAGTGAATAATCTAACTATGAAGGTTCTTCTACTTGTTTTTCATGAGGATTTCTTTTTTCTACATTGAAGCTCCTGAATTAGTTGAAATTTTTTCCTTTCCTTTTCTTTTTTTTTAAATTTTACTTTTAAGTAATCTCTACCCCCAACATGGGGCTCAAACTCGAAACCCCGAGATCAAGAGGCACACGGTCCACTGACTGAGGTAGCTAGCCAGGTGCCTCGAAATGTTTTGTTTTGTTTTGTTTTCTTTTCTTTTCTTTTCTTTTTCACATTGGTGAATAATTGCTAATGAGTAGTTCCGTTTGAAACTAACATCATAAAAATTACTGAACCAGATTGATACAATTTTTCATATGGTCTTTCATATGGATTCTTTTCTGGAAGCCACATTGTTCTGGTTTGTCCCAGTAGCAGAAAAAGTAACAAATCAATGAAAAAAAACATTTATTAACACTACTGTCTGCAAACCAGGAGCCTTTTCAATAAGTTTTATGAAAAATGTGGCTTCGCTAAAAAAATAATGTATAAAGTTATGGGAAATACAGGAAAAATGAGTAATTCTGTTTGAATGTATAAATGTACACACAGTCATTTTAGAAATACTGCCCTTATAAAGGAGCTCACCCCAGTCTGTGGACTAAAACTCTGAATTTCTGTCTGGAACAAGTTCAGCATATCATTGGTCCTCTTAAATGTGTGACACTTGAAGGATAGCCCAATGTGGCAAATGTGTTCCAATCTGCTGTTCAGACACTATGTTAGTCTTAAAGCAGCCTGATTTTGCATCGTGTTTGTTTGTTTGTTTGTTTTGGTAGGTATTGGTTTCTATCAGATATTATTCAGGCAGCAGTTTAGAGGTTAAGGAAAGGTCTGTTAAGCCCTATCTCCTCCTTCACATCCTTATGCAATTGAGTTTTTTTTTTTTTTTTTTTTTTTTTTTTTACACCTCTATTGTATTCCTGGCTGGGACCCATTATTTACATGATTACTAAATTTTTCTTCTATCTGAACCATTGACTAAAAGAAACTGACCTGCAAATAGCGTCAGTATTTATTTACTCATTCATTATTTGGCAAAGGTGAAAACAAGTGGGTTCATGATATATAGGAAAAAACTATAATAATTTATAATATTATTAAGTATTTTTCACTTCTATAATTTGTTATTCTTTCTTTGTGAGATTGAAAGTGTAACATTACTCTTAATCAGTGCTATTCAAGTCTGTGCCAGGTTACTGCTGGCAGATTATTTCCTTATAATTAAGGGAAGTCCACTGATAAGCTTGGAAAATATTATTTAAAAATAAATTGTACCCCATGGTGATGAGGGTACAGAAAAACTTTCCTTGTGGCTGTATAAATCAGTATATCCTACCTGAAGGGCAGTTTGGCAGTATATCATCTAAAAGGAAAATGTGAACTGGAGCTCACACAGAGGTTATCCACACAGATCTTTTGTTGTTGTTGTTTTTAATTAACTTTTATTAAGATACTTGTAGATTCACATGCAATTGTAAGAAATAAGATAGAGACAGTCACATTGTACCCTTTACCCATTTTCCCCAGTGGTGACGTTTTGCAAAAGTATAGTACAGTATCACAGGCAGGATGTTGATGTCGATGCAGTCAGATACAGAATATTTCATCACCGTAGGACTACCTCATATCTCCCTTTTATAGCCTCCCACCTCTGCTCCCTCCTTAACTCCTGGCAACCAGAAGTTATTTCTGCATTTCTGTAATTTTATCATTGTTTAAAATATGAGGGTTTTTTTTTTTTTTCTACAATCTCTTTCTCTTCTCCTTCTGAGACTCCAACAACAGGAATGTTAGATCTTGTATTATAGTTCCACAGGTCCCTGAGGCTCTATTGATTTTTTTTTTCCTCCAGTCTGTTTTCTATTATTCAGCTTGGGTAATTTCTGTTGTTGTGTATTTTGCTTCACTGATTCTTTCCTCTGTGCCCTTCATTGATCTCATCCTCTGACCTTATTTGTTATTATATATTTAAGTTCTAAAATTTCCATTTGGTTCTTTATATATCCTCTTTCTTTGCTGAGGATTTTTGTTGCTAAGGCCTTCTGATTTTTCACATTCATTTCAGTGGTGTTTAAAATTGCTCATTAAAGCATTTTTATCATTGTTCCTTGAAAATTTTTGTCAGACTGTACTAACATTTCTGTCATCTAGGTATCGGCATCCATTGATGATCTTTCTTTAGTTCAATTGGAGGCCTTGGTTCTTGCTGCTAACTTAGGAGTTTTGGGTCGTAATTAAACTTTCCGTTTGGACTGGCCTCCTCAGGCACCACTCTGGCAGAAGAAGCTGGGGGTACTGCCAGGTGCAAACAGAGGTCTACGTTCCCCACTCAGCCTCTCGTGACACCTGACAGGGGTGCTCCTCATCTCTGCCGGCTGGGAGTGGGGATTAGACCGCCAGCTGTCAGAGCAGTCTTTTCCAGCAGCTCAGTGAAGGTGGCTGCGTTAACCACAGAGCCGTGATGAAAACCCTGACTCCACTAGGCCTTCTCTGAACCACCCCGGAGGAGATAGGGAGGGGCAATTCATGACTGCTTGTGGGGGCTCCCCACATGATCTCCACTGATACTGTGGGCAGGAGCTTTGTTACTGGCCAGTGGCAGCAAAAGTTGCATCTCCCTATTTGGCCTTCTCTGACATCACCCTGGCAACAGTGCCAGCACCTTGATATGTAGGCTCATGAAAGCGAAAATGTAGGCCTTCCTTGGCATGAGTGTGGGTGAGACCACAGCCTTTTTTCCTGTGGAGTCTAGACAGAGTGGTTATTGTTTAAAAGTTCTGTGTCTGGCTAGGATGCCCCTTTCCTGGTCATCTGGCTGAGGGGGCAGACTTCTCTTGGGGTTTTGTCTGTGCCTCTTGGTGTTTCCAGGTTCCATTTTCTCCAGTGTCCAGTCTAGGACGTGTGAGGCAAGAAGAAAACCCAGAGAAGTCACCACTGTGTTGTTCCCCGGGCGCCAAGGTCCACAGCAGTTGTGCTTTCTTTTGTCTCCTTTCACAGTCTTATGTGTGTTTCGTATGTAACGTGGGCGTGTATATAACGCCCGGGGATTTGTAGGTGTGCTTACGAGGAACAGGGAAAGCACATCTCCGTCTGTTTGGTCCTAGAAGGCATCAGGTTCTGTCTCATGCAAGGTAATGAAGAAGTTCGTGCTCTTTGACTTGGTAGTTAACTTCTAGGAATCTACCCTGAAGAACTAATTGAAGATGCCAGCAGAGATTTATATTTATTACAGGTCTGTTTATATAATAGCAAAAAATGCAGTGTGCCTAAATGAAAATATCCACGTATGCTAGAATACAATGATGTTATTTAAAATTCACATTTCTGGGGCGCCTGGGTGGCGCAGTCGGTTAAGCGTCCGGCTTCAGCCAGGTCACGATCTCGCGGTCCGTGAGTTCGAGCCCCGCGTCGGGCTCTGGGCTGATGGCCCAGAGCCTGGAGCCTGCTTCCGATTCTGTGTCTCCCTCTCTCTCTGCCCCTCCCCCGTTCATGCTCTGTCTCTCTCTGTCCCAAAAATAAATAAACGTTGAAAAAAAAAATTAAAAAAAAAAATAAAATTCACATTTCAAAGAATATGACATAGGAAATGTTCATAATAAATGAAAGAGCAGGATATGAAACTGTTTATACAGTATTATCCCAGACTTTTATAAATCTTTTTCAACTTGTGGAATAAAATTCACTAAAATACCAACAGTATTAACTCCAGGTTTTAATTTTCTTCTGTATATTTTTCTGTACTTTATGAATTTCTACCATGAATTATTGTTAAGATCAGGAAAATAAAACCTCATAAAATATTTAAGAAAGCTCTTGGAAGTGAATTATTAAATGAGATATAAAAAATTTTACATGAGACATTTGCAGGTATACTCTACATACACAATCATACTTTGCACATACATTTATACACACATAGTATGGTAAATAAATGGGAATATTTCATGAGTTTTGCTAGGAATCTTCTATGTCAGTAGCGGAGTGCTGTCTGCATATCATATGGATTAAAGTGATGAATGCAGCGATTGAAAGATGATACCCACTTTCTTAGCTGTTTAATTTGGATAGTACTCTTTCGGAGGAAATTCTTATAACAACCAAAAAGAAGGTAACAGACTTAGCTGTCCCAGAATAATTAATGCCATGTTACGGATTCAATGTGTTTTAAGAGCGTGTGTTTAATTATTCTGTGGGAACTTCTCCTTTATAACTTGAGTGATTACCATGAATTATTTCAGGATGCCATAAAGAGATAAGCTCAAATTTTCCACTTGTGTAATTAGGATATTTTAAAAAATCTTAGGTAGGTATTTTTCTGGCACCAGTTACAGGAACTTACTGACCTAATTATTCATCTTCTGTTTAGTTTGACCAAGCAGCTGATGCTGAATTATCCTGGATTACTGAAACCGAAAAGAAATTGATGTCTCTGGGTGACATCAGGCTTGAGCAAGACCAGACCTCTGCTCAGCTGCAGCTTCAAAAGGTGAAGAAGTACATTTCCAGTTATATCAAAATTGCTTGTTAACGTGCTCCAATCTAGAACGTGGGATTGCATGATTTACTTTACAAAACCCTTGTAGTGTAACTTGGTATTTTTAACTACTTTGCCTGATTGTTTTCATTTTAGTCACACAGCCTCTCTCTCTCTCTCTCTTTATCTTTATTCTGGTAAATCACAGAAATTCACCATGGAGATTTTGAGACACAAGGATATTATTGATGAGCTTGTGAAATCTGGACATAAAATCATGACCACATGCAGTGAAGAGGAAAAGCAATCAATGAAGGTATGATCTTGTCTGTGTGGCTGCTGCTGAGACCCTCAAATAAATGGCATGCATTGAGTGCTCAGTCCTAGAGCAGCACATTTTCTTTATCCACAGCTGCCATTTGGACATCTGAATCATGAGATTTAAATAAGGCATTTTTTCAAACTTACAGAGTAAAAGTAAAAGGGATATTCCTTAAGGGAATCACCCTGGGGACACTTTTTTTAATAGACACTAAAGCTATTAAAATTTGCATCCTTGAATAACTGGCACACGTTAAACATTCAGTTAATGTTAGCTGTATTATTGCCATTATTATTGGTATAAATTATCACTCTATATGTCACCTGTTGTCTGTATGCTTCAAAATATATGGTTCTCTTTAATGCTGAAATCCATTCTGTATAAAATTTTGGTAAGCTGTACAGGAAAAAAATGAGCTGAATAATTAAGAAAGCATCTGGTTTCTAGACTTCTAATGATCCTTTAAATTGATGGAAAACCAGTCACAAGTAAAAATGTTTAGTTCAATTCACATTCAGACATCTCAGCAGACTAAAGAAATTAATGTATACTAATGCTTCTGATAGGAAACTATCCCATAGCAAAAAAAAAAAAATATGCAAATGTCTATGCCTAAGATTACTCTTTAAATAGTATGCATTGGTTTCAAGGTGTACCGTGGACAAAGTAATAGAATGTAACTGTATATTGATACTACTTTTATTTATTCTGGCAATTTACTTATTTATAATTTAATCTTCCCTTTATTATTTTTATAAAGACTGACATGAAAAATAGAGATCATCATGAAATATTTTCTGTGTCATTCTGTGGTTTATTAGATTCCTGTTGTGCTTTATCTTCTGCTATTAGTTTATGATGTAAATTTATACCGTAATCTAGATCACTATGATCACCCCATAAAATACAGTGTATAGTATAATGTTCTACTCTGATTCTAATATATGCAATTAATTTTGCTAGCAATTCCTCTTATAACTTCACTTGTGAGAGGGAGTCTTTACTTTTGGCCAGAAAGTAATGTTAATGTCGCTAGACTCGTATGAGACTTGTTTTCTAGCCCAGAAAGCCTATAAGACCTAGAAGGATAGTTGAAGAATTTGGCTTATTATGTTTGGAGAGCTCATTGTCTTTTTCATAAAAACCTGAGTCTGTTTATTTATTCATATTTTGGGTTTTGTCACCTAATATTTCTGACGGGGGGAGGAGGGGTGCTTGTTCTCTGTCATTAAATCCCATGATTTTTGATGATAATATAAAAACCTGTTGTGTGGATATATCTTGATCTCCAGTTGTACTTTTATGGTTCCACATTTTTGCTATTTTTTACATATATATGTGAAAGTTTTTTTTGTTGTGGTAAGATACAACATTAGCATAGAAGGGATTATTATTCAGCCTTAAAAAGGAAGGAAATCGTGCCTTGTGCAAAAATATGGATGAACCTGAAGGATCTTTATTTTTCTTTTTAAGATTTTATTTTTAAGTAATCTCTACATTCAACTCTAGGCTCCAACTTAAAACCCCGAGATGAGGAGTCAGATGCTATACTGACCAAGCCAGCGAGGAGCCCCCAAAGGGTCTTTTTAAATTTAAAATGAATGTTTATACATAGAAATAGTTACAATCTAAATACGTTTTAAAATTTTTAATTAATTTATTTATTATTGAGAGAGAGCAAGAGCATGAGCATGTGAGCAGGGGAGGAGCAGAGAGAGGGAAAGACAGAATCCCAAGCAGGCTGCACACTGTTAGCACAGAGCCTGATGCAGGGCTCCATCTCACGAACTGGGAGATTATGACCTGAGCCGAAGTCAAGAGTTGGATGATTAACCAACTGAGCCACCCAGGCGCCCCTAATCTAAATAGGTTTTAATGATTTTTTTCGTTTAACATACATCTGTGAGTGCCTGCTTTGCACTAAGCATATAGTGCTAGAAAAAACATTCTGGAATATATGTGCTGTTTGGCCTGTTTAGCCAGCTAAGCACATTTCATTATCTTATTTTCTAGAAAAAACTGGACAAGGTGTTGAAGAACTATGATGCCATCTGCCAGGTAAACTCAGAGAGGTATCTACAGCTAGAACGAGCACAGTCCCTGGTTAACCAGTTCTGGGAAACATATGAAGAACTTTGGCCATGGCTGACAGAAACACAAAGAATCATCTCTCAGCTTCCTGCCCCAGCCCTCGAATATGAAACTCTAAGACAACAGCAGGAAGAGCACCGGGTAAGCTGGGGATTAAAGAGAATGTTGTATTCCCCATTGAAAGAGAACCACGATGGTTATGCTGTTTTTCTAGTATATGTGCTGCCAAAGTGAGCCATGGGATGGTGTTTTTTTTTGTTTGTTTTTTGTTTTT